CCTGCCACTGTGGGCGCATCGCTGCCAGGCCCCGGCCGGCTCGGGGGTGGGACGGCTGGCTGCTTTCTCTTTGCCGCTCGGGTAAGGGTCCTGGTGCTTACCGCCTCCAAGACTACCCCGCGCTCTCTCTCGTTGTCGTTGCTCAGGTCAAAACGTGGTTTCAGAATCGCAGAGCCAAATGGAGGCGTCTAAAGCAGGTACGGGGATGTTTCCGTTTCTATAGAAATAAGTATTTTAATTGTCTTATCTTGCGCCGTGCTCGCCTATTTCAGGTTGTATGCAGAAGTCATCTGAAAGGCTGTTTAACCTCTTCACCTTGATTAAAAAGACAAATAGTCATGCTGGAATCCATGAGGGCTCGTTCAGGCAGCACTAACGTTAAAAGCTCCTAATGTAGTTCCTATATCAATTATGCCCGGCTTTCACACACTGCCTATTAAAACTCCACGCTAATTGTTTTGTAAACCCATATGTTGTTTAGCCAATTAACGTGGAGAAGATAAGTAATTGTCAGTAAATTACTTAGGCAGTTGTTTTGGAGAAGAATATTTACTGGTCTTTTAAATCGCCCTGTCTTAATAAACACAAGTCAATTTATTCCACAAACGTTGGGAGAAGCAGGTACAAACGCCTTGTTAGTTTCGAGGAGTGGTATGGAAAATTGAGTAGCTTTTATTTTTCGTTTACAGATAGTTACAGTGTACTAAGCTGAGAGGTTGAAGCGGTTTCCCTTCCCTTAGAAATTATGCTCAAGCAGATAAATACTTTTTTATGGCCCGAAGGGCCCGATCCTGCCTGGCTTAGCCAGATTGAGGCCCCTTGACTCAAAGATTTGTGAAAAAACCCTGCCTTGTGGCCTGAGTCCAGCTTCAGTGTGACATGGACAGCCAAATTTTACTAGTAAAGCAGCTTTTAATATAAAAATATTAAGAAAACTAACCACGGCGCCATGCTCTAGATTTATTTGTTCTGTGACCTTCCCCTGGTTTTAACCCGTACTTGAGTTGATTTTCTAATAAAATCCCTCTGCTCCGGCAAGAGGCAGGCTGGGTCCCTGGCAGTGCCTCCTTGGCAGGGCCTGACCCACACTGCAGTGTCCAGAGAGCTTGCCTGGGATCTCGGCCATTTTAAGTCATTTCCTTCTTTTCATTCAGTCACATCCATTTATCCGAGCCCGCACTTTATAGCATGGGTGCATGTCTCTGCCAGCTTTCTCTTAAGAGTATCATTTCATGCCCCCTTAGGGTACTGGGCTCCCCTGACAGCTGCTGACACAGGGCTACTCCTGCCTTCAGAAACAGGGTTTTGGTTTGTTTTGGTTTGTTTTCAGTGGTGAATGTTTTAATGTTGAATTTTGGCTTAATTAGTAATTTTTTTCCTTTTGCTTTTGGGCCACTGATGGATTCCGCCTCCCTCCGTTTGCTGTTGGGTGTAATTAAAGAAAGATCAGGGCAGGAGGAAGCTGTGTGTCGGTGTTTGTAGACTCATAATAAACATTTGCTTTGCTAAAGACAAAAGTTCAGAGGTTCCTGGGCTCCGGCAGCTCCTGACTCTTTTGAAGTGGCTGCGATAACCATCGCCAAGGAACCTTATTCACGGCAGCGGCCCCTGTGGCTGCCAGGGAGTGGGATCAGAGCCCAGCCCCTGCGTGCGGCTGAGCCCTCACAGGGCCCCGACCATGCAGGCAGGTTTATAGGCAGGAGGCCCAGGGAGGTAGTGAGACACCCACCTTTTCCTGCAAGAAACCCAAGGTGGTTTTCCCACCCAGCACAACTGGAATTCCCAGGCCTGTGGTTCCGTGGCCTGTATTTCTGTGTAAAGCTGCTGTCTTTCATTGCAGGAGAACCCCCAGGCCACCAAAAAAGAAGAAGTGGAAGGTGCTGACAGTCACAGTGACCAAAGGCCGGAGAGTTGCCCAACCCCCGAGCAGAAGGGTAAGGAGGTCTCCCTGGACGGCTCACAGTACACCCCCTCACCAGCCTCACAGGAGGACCTGGAGTCAGACATCTCTGATGACTCTGATCAAGAAGTGGACATTGAAGGTGATAAAGGCTATTACAATCCTACCCAATAACGGCCCCATGCAGAGAGTCAACCCTAACTCGGCTTGCACTTTACCAGGGGCTGGTTTGAAAGAATATTATACTACAGGAGAAAACTTTCACCGTTCCACTGAAAGAAAAAAACAACCACCAAATAGACTGATTTTGTAATAAGCAAAGAAAGAAATATGTATTTTCTGCAAACAGTCCATTTTTGGCAGATCTCTAATTTGGTTAAAGGAACATGGTTTGTATTTAATTATTTGTAAGATATATTTGTACATTAATCGATGTTCTAACTGGAATACAATACTGCACCCTGTCCTTACTCATGGGAGGTCTGAATCAGCTGCTGTTGGTGATCAGGCAAAACTCCTCTCCAGGTAGCATGGAAGTGAGTATGGATTGCAGGACTAAGCCCTTTGTATGTGTAAACAAATGTAGTTTAAATAGATTAATTTAAACACCTTTTGCAAGCAGAGAAATATGTTCTGTGAAATAGGGATTTGACCATCCCTACAAGTGCCTTATGCTCACATCCTTTTACCTGCTGTGGTGCTCTCCACCGAGACATTCCTCCGTTCATCAGGTAGAGTCTTTGGACAGATTCATTGTTGCTTTTGTGTGAGATGAAATGTGCCTTCTCAGTTTTTTGAGGACTTCTCCCCACAATCTGGATTGGTTCCATTTGCAGGAAAAAAAACCCCGTATTTTTCTCTTTGAAAATCTCCAGAGCTGTTTTTTACAGATTTCATATTTGAGAAGAAAATGAAGGGAGTGATAGGGTCCTGCTGCAGGGGAGAAACTGTCATCAGCTGGGGGGGATAAGTAAGTGAGGCACACAGCCGTGCAAAGATAATGCCTATTGTATACATATCTGCTTCTGTACATAGTAGTTTTCTCTAGAAGTCTCGGTTTTATACCTCACGTTGTTCATATTTTGTACATATTTGTTCAATGTTAAAAAAAAAAAAAAAGGCAAAACCTGGTATTTAATTTTTGATGGACTTGTCTATGAAATAAAACTAAAGTCTGCACCACCCACTCCACTGGCCATCCAGTTAACTGGCAGGAGAAATCCCAAACCTCCCCCCGCCAGCAGCAGCGCCCCAGCCCTGTTGTAACTGGGCTTTTCCCTCCGGTACCATGCCGATCGCCCTGCGCCCTCCCGTTGCAGGGATCTCGCGTGGGCTCGTCGTTGTTTTTTTTTCAGCTTGCCACCCTGCGTTTCGTTTTCGCCTGTACTCATGCGTGTACGGGAGAGGGGTCTGCCAGCCCCGGCTAGAACTGTAGCTGTTCACCCCCGAGTCTCCCCGACCCTAGGGACGCCCGGGGGGGGGTTGCCCGTGGAGGCACCCGTGGAGGAGGAGCGGGGCCGGCGGTGCCTGCTCGGGGCCGGGCATCGACCTCAGTCGGGGCAGCCGCTGACCCACCTGAGTCAACAGTGGTTATTCATCGGCCTTTCTCCGAAATCATGCCGGCCCGGGGGCGCGGGGAAGGAGCGCGGAACTCGGGGGTGCGGGGAAATGCCCCGGGAGCGGGACCGGCTCAGCCCGCACCGGACGGCGCCTCCGGTCCTTCCCGGGCACCGCAGCGAGCACCCAGCGGACAGGGAGCTGGCCCCGGCCGGGTGCCAGGGAGGCTTTTAGTGCCAGGAAAAGAGTTTAGGGAGCAAGATGTGACTATTTCCAGCGGAGAAGGGGGCGGCCCTTAGGGCAGCCGGTGCGTCGCTGCTGGGCGGATTAATGCTTAGAGAAAGAGCAGTTGTGTTTTCTGAATAACTGAGCGGCTTTAGGTTTAGTTTAGTTTTTTAAAACTGCGTTCGTGAACGGGGCCCGGAAACACAAAGTCAAGGGGCAGGTTCCGTGGGCATCTGTTCGTTCAGGCTGGGAAAAGGGCGAAGCCTCTGTCCGACCCCTCGGTCCCGCAGGGCGAGGGGAGCAGAAAACGTGCGGCGGGGCTCCGCTGAGGAGGAAAACGCTTTTCCATCCTCCGCGTTTTCACCTCGCTCAGTGTTTCTGTCGCGGGTCTCAGCCCGGGTCGCGACGGGGACGGGCGAATGGCCGGGCCCGAGCGGCGGGAGCTGCGGGGGGGCCGGGAGCAGGGCGGGGGCCAAGCGGGCAGGCGTGTCTCGGCCCTTTCCCTTCCCTTTTCCTTTCTCTTGTCTGTCTGTCCCGACCGAAATCAGAGAGCACGGAACCGGCGTTACCTCTTCAGGGC